TATAGTGAGGATCAAATAAACAGAATAAAGACAAGACTGGGCAACGCGCATTTTTTATTGTTTGTATATTTACTGTACCAAAGGACACCAGCTGTGTCCTTTGGTCTTCTTTCGGCTCACTCAATTATCATATTGTTGGTATAACTACAACTACACACTTTAAAATGATATTTAGAGACAAGAACCCGACCTGCGCGTTGGTTGGTTACAAACTAGTGGAAAACATAGCGTGGCCAGGGGAGCGACAGAAAAGTAAAACACAAGCATGAGGAAAAACAGATAAAAAACAAAACAAATATGACAATACAGAAAATACAAGTAATAACAAAAATTCGTTTCGCGGAACGCGAGCCGCTGATTCCATCCAAAGATGATTTAATGTCGACAGGCGAACCGTGAAATGGAAACAAAACCGCTCCTGGGCGCTCGAGCTGCAAGCTTTGCATTCAAAGCTGATGCTGTTTGGAAAACGAGGCTGTTGAGAAACCAGCAACAAACAGATCAAAAGCTTCAAAACAAAAGGAGCAAAGCATCAGGGAAAGTTTATTCACACAAAAAGTATTCCGAGGGAAATCTGGTTTCAGACAAAACTTGGGGAGGATAAAGAAAGAAAATGCGCTGAATCTTTAGATTCCTTTGTTCGTGTGTTTGCTTTCGGTTTTTAAAAATGGAGTGTCTAAAAAACGGCCGGTCCACATGACTCTCCAATGCAAATGTTTGCGAGGAGAAGAAGAGGTTTTGTTTAGTTTGTATTTCTAGCAAGTCTCCGGACGTCATCAGAAACTTTGAGTTTGAAAATGATGGTCCTGATGGTAGTGCAAAAAAAGGCGCGTGGTTAAAGCTCGGTGTATTTTTAGAGATGATTTATTTGTATCCTGTAGGGAAACGTTATGGAATGACCATTTTGAGGATATCGACATTTACAGTAAAAAAACAAAAACATTTCGATTTCTTGAGTGAAGCCGCATATTATGCTTGAGCAGGAATACTAGTATTTTAAGTATTGGTGAGTGTTTGATATTCGCCCAGAGTGTCGGTAAAGAGACAATTCGGCGTGCCTTCAATTGCAATAAATTGTAGACGTTTTGAACAATATCTGATTAATTTCGATATGCTCAAGTAGTAGAGTGTACAGTAGTGTCGATGCAATTAAAATAACAAAATGCTGCTTCTGACCTTGCATAGAAACAAACTACACTCCTATACTTTTTTAATGATTGTGTTGATAATTGTATTTAAAATGACCATTTCCGTAGTGATAAGCATGTTAGTTTACCTTGAATGTCGTTCAAAGACACGTTTACCACCTGGGTTATTTGACTACTGCAAGGGCTTGCTTGCGAAATGTTTATAGGTTGACCAGTGAAAATAAGCACTTACACATTTTTTTCACAAATCGTTCAGAGTTCAGACAGCTATTTTGCATTATGTAACTGGTCTTCCCTGCACGAGTGCCCAGGATGCAGATTGCCTACAAAAATAATTAAGAAAACATTACACCGAGTTGAATCAAAAAATAAAAATAAATCTGTGATGCTAGTTGCTAAAAATTTAATACAAACATGCAAAGCGTCGCTCATCTAGCCCATTCACAGATGTGTAACTTAAGAATAATGTAAATATAAGAAATTGAATAGTGTTTTATTCAATGTTATGCACTAGACATAAGAAACAGAGTACAACGGCACAAAACGTGCGCCACTTTCGCAGTGAATATCACGTCGTTGAGTACACTCACTATTGATTATCGCCCCTAGTATGCCTCCACATAATATAGAAAAGCGGTGGCGCTGTAAAACACTAGTTTGTAGAGAGCTGGAGTGTGACGCGTCTAGTAAGACCATTACTCGTATATGCAAGGTGTTTTAACGAAGGCTTTCAAAAATCCACATTAGAGGGCTGTTGAAAAACAAACTTCCCGGGAACAAACTGCCTTCCACGGCGGATGCCAGGAGTTGCAAAAAAAAAAAACCAATTCTAATTAGCTGAATATTTTACTAACTTTTACTAATTAAGGTTTCAATTAGTGAAAATAAACATGCGCGTAAATGGTTCCAATGAGAAACTTCCTAAGCATGATTAAAAAGCAATAAATGTACCCAGTTAAGAAAGGTATAAGGCGAAAACAACGCGTCATTACGGCATAAAAAAAACGCTGAACATGGACGCGGTTTTTGTATTTCAGTTTGTTATCGGGACGTATACTTGCAACTTAATAATAATAATAATAATGGTGTATTTTTCAGTGCCCAGAAACAACCTAGTGGTCTCTGTGTGGTGCATAAACATGGGTGAAGTATTATACAAATAAGACAAAATACGAATTATCAAAGAACTAACAACAAACAAAATAAAACAAATAGGGCTAGGCTTGATTTGGCCTGCTTAAGGCAACTGCATTCATTTACGTAATTGTTGCATAAAATATTGATGTGCACCAAAAATATCCAAGCTATTCTGATGTGCATTATTAAAATCAATTTGAACCCTCAAAGAGGTGACACAGGTAATGTACCGAAGGGGTAAAAAGTTGATTTGTTCCTAATGATTCGGGGTGGAACATGGAAGTCAATAGTCTGCAATAAGTCCGTCGAGTTTACCTCACCAGGTACAACTTTGTATAAAAACATAAAATCTCGGTACTGTCTTCTCACAGTCAGTTTATGGAGTAGAAACCTGTAAAACAATGATTCGTAGTTGTAGAAACACCCCTACCAATATACCTATCATAAAGTTTTCTAATCATTTGCTTCTGTACATTTTCAATCGCGATAGCTTGCGAAATAATCAGTGAATTCCAAACCACACAGAAAAATTCTAACCGTGATCTAACCAAAGACCTATACAAATGCCATAAACATGAAGGAGCAGAAAATTGGACACATAAACGTGAAATCATACATAATACTCTCAGCGCTCGATTTACGGTTGTAACAACATGACCATTAAAATAAAGTGCGCTGTCAAGACAGACGCCAAGATCTCTGATAAACGATACGGGGGGAATCGGGACGCCACCAACAATGTATGCTAAGGAAATTCTCTCGCGCTTTCTAGATAGCACAATAGATCTAGTTTTCTGTGGGTTCAGTGACAGTTTTCGGTACACCATGTAAAAACACAATATACATCATCTTGAAGACTTGAACAATTATATACTCACTGGACATATATGGAAAGCTTAACGTCATCAGCGAAAAATAAGAATTTTGGCATTCTTTGCGCAAGAAACAATGTCATTTATAAACAAAAGAAATAACATGGTTCCTAGAATTAAGCCCTGTGGTACACCGGAACTCGAAATAAGCTCATAGGAGTAGCTACCGGAAACATGAACCGAATTGCGGCGATGACCGAGATAGTTTGAAAACCAGGCGCAGAGGTGCGGGCTGAAGCCATGCAGGGCAAGCTTGTGTAACAATAATGTGTGATTAAACCGGTCGAAAGTTTTCGACATGTCAAAATAAATCGCGTCAACCTGTCCTCTTCCGGAAACCACGGGAGCGCAGTAATTAAAAAATGAGCATAAATTTGATTGTACGGACCTGCCCGGCCTTCAAAAAACCGTGCCGTAATTCAGATTTTTTTTTTTGTTCAATTAAAAGTAAATCCGCTTATGCACTACTTTTTCGAAAACCTTCGCAAAGCCGCATAACAACGAAACAGGACGGTAATTATTAACTAAGGTAGAATCATCGGCTTTAAAAACAGGAACAACTACCGAGTATTTCCAGAGCTCAGCAAACTTAGCCTGAGTTAGGGGCAAGTTAAAAATATGCTTCAGCACAGGTACGAAAAAGAGAGGAGCCACCTTTAATAATAAAACTAGGTATGCCATAAATGTTGGTGAATAATTCAGGTTTAAGTTTACTTATGGCTTCTAAAATGTCGTCATCGTAAAGATTAAAAGTAGGCAGAAGGTCCACACACTGGATACCAATGTCACTAAAAGCGCCACCTTGTTGTGCCGGCGAATAACAAGAACTAAAAAAATCAGCGAAACGATTCGCAATTTCCCCTGGCACGCAGTAATAACCAGCATCACCGCGAAGACAAATATTTGGTCGATTTCCCACAAGTGTTGTCTAGTGAAGCGCCAGAACTCCTTAGGATTTTTAGTCAGGCTATGTTCAATGCCTATTAAGTACAACCACTTATCTTGTTCGTAACTTAACTTGCAAGCATTATTAATAAGCAATAAATATACCCCATTAAGAAATATATAAGGCGAAAATAACACGTCATTACGGCATAAAAAAACCGCTCAGCATGGACGTGTTTTTATATTTAAGTTTCTTATCGGAGTGTATACTTGCGACTTTGGTCCCGCTCACCAGTGGCTGGGACGCGCAACACATGTTCGCCATAATTACTGCATCCTAGGAGGAAGCCCGCGCAAACACACGCTTCGATAAGAAACCAAAACTCGGGTTAAAATTAAAAACGGACAAGAACAAGAAGATAGATGAACAGCGCCTTGTTCGTCTATCTTCTTGTTCTTGTCCGTGTCCTTGCGCTGTTTTTAATTTTTATTCATGAAATACCAACTAGCCCAAACTTGTACGTTAGCCAAAACTCAGAAACACGTCCAAACTTAGCGTTTGTTTTTACGGAACTACTTAAAATGCTCTACCTGCTTTATATATTTTTAAGATGAGTTTACATGGTGGTCGACGATGATGCTTAGAAAGTCTCATTGAAACAATCTGTTTATATTCACCCATTAAAAAGTTTATGAAAACATTACTGTTAAATATTTAGCTAATTAGTAAGCTTTCTGTAATCCTTTACACTCGCCGTTACTGGCATTTGTTGCCGAAAAGGGACTGTTCCTTTCAACCACCCTATTTTTAGGGAATTTCGAAATCCTTCGCTGAAGCGGCCGGCATAGAGTAAACGACAGTAACAATCACAACAGCCACAAAAATTCAGACATGTCGTTATTCCCAAAATTTGCTGATTCATTGATGGAGTATTTTTTCATCACTGCATGGTACAAAATGTGGAGTGATTTTGCGGCTGTTGCTAGGGTCAACACAGCAGAGTAATAAGACATTTAGCGTTCGCAAAAGTCGCAAAAAATCTATAAAATTCGTCTTTTCCTGTTAAAGCTTCAAACGACCAAAAAAAGCCAGCCGTTCGTCTTGAAAACTTAACAACAGAAAACAATTTATGCATTAAATTCTAGATATATCCGCTAAGGATATAAGAAAATACATTTATCTATTTTTACGCCAGGAAGTCATGCAATTAGCGTTAGTGCTATTTTTTAGTGTTTCAACTTTCAAATAACGCATAAGATATTATATTGATTATGGAGGCACAGATTTTTTGTCTGGATACTGTACAACACTTGTAAGCAAGCAAAAGGAGCGCGGTGTAATTTACCTTAGAGGGTGCTCATGCTTGTTCGTATAGGTTAAATTTGATTACATTTGAATTAGGAGAAATTTGGGTCTGCCGAGTCTCCGAATAAGAAATATAATATAATTTATGGAATACAGAATGCGTACAAGTGTTCATTTAAGATTACAGACGTCTAGAGAGATAAATTGCATTGTGGGTGTTTTTTCTCTTTTCAGTTGAAGAAATCCTGGGTAGAGTGCACATTCCAGAAAAGAGACTGCATTCGGTTTATTCCGACCAAACAAGAACCTGAAAGGTAAGGTATATTTAAAGTTTTCAAAAAAGCAAGAAAGTGCAATTGTTAGACTAAAATTTTAGTAATTTGTACGAGAAAAGATACGAATAGCAGCACAAAAGACGAAACAAAATAGAAAATGTTTAAATTAATTACCGCTTGCTTACTATGTTCTGAACGCTAAAATCCTAACATCCTTAATTACAGATGTTAGGAAACAAAAAAATAACTCCGTGCCGGTAAGAGAAATTCGAGATTTTCCACCGGCAACCCTAACTAGAAGGGCATAAAAAATTAACTCATAATAATTGTTCGTTATACAAGATTTCTGCTAGCCACCAGACCAATATCAAGTCCAATCTCCTAACGAAGTCAAACTAATTAATTTTATCCTTACAAGAAGAATGTGCTCTAGGATCTTTAGGGAATTATTCGCAGACCAGCATCACGTTTCTAAAGTAATAAATAAATTACTTATAAAATTGTTTCAGCCATCTGTCAAAAGCAATGGTTGTAGCAGTTTTGGTACGCGTTTGCAAGGAATTATCTATTGTAGTTATATTGAAGCGTATTCTCACGATAAAACACGGGAACCTGAACTACTGAGGTTTTGATTTTAAATTTAAAACGTAGGCATTTGTCGTGTCGAAACAAGGCAATGTATTATATCACAGGAAACGAATATGAAAACCCAGGAATGACGAGGGTAGGCGGAGCCTATACGGATGATCACATTTGCATTTCAGGTGCGGTTGCGGAGAACTGCTAGGTGGTCATACTTTGTCGGCCAGACCGTCGCTGACGTCTCAGGGTCAGGTGACAGAGCTAGAAGAACACTGGTCCATGTCGCGGCACAGCGAAGTGTCTGCCACTGACGCCTTCGGAACCATTGAATTTCACGGTACTTCCCATCCGCTCAAGGCACAGGTGAGACGTGCATGGTAAATCAAGCCCACCATAATGGTATGGACGCGGGAAATGTGTCGTGTGGAAGGAAGTAAAATGTTTTCAGACATACATATAAAATGCTTTCTTTTATTAAAGATGTTCTTTCATTTGTAGTGCCAGCCTACATATCACACCTTGCGCGAGTAAGGCGTGCGTACTCGATGCTTGAAGCTTCCACGCAACGACAGAACGCGGGTACCTATTGGACAAGAGCGCTCTTTAAGCGTTCGGATAGGGCTCGTGTTCACTCATTTCTTCCGCGGGCGTTCGGCGTTCAATCGCTTAGTATACAGATGTTTCGGGAAAAAAAAAGAAGTTACCTGTGTCGGCTAGTCTCAATGGTTTTCGGTAAATGCACGATGCATTGTAATAGTGGATATGCAAAGTGAATAAATCGTTCGAGGCTCTTTCAGGAATGAGACATCTTGTAACAAAAAGTAAAAATGAGCGACAAAGCAATCTTTATGTAAATACTTTTATTATAAAAGGTTGCCAGATTTTCTTGACTTTAACAGCCCGATTAGAACTACTACTCGGAGAACGTGCATATAGGGTTTGGTTTAGTAAGTTCTGGTGAAACTTGCGGCGATACATCAAAAATGAGAAATAGTCGGTATCACAAAGTTTCAGTATCAAGGGTGACAATAACTTTTATTTTTGGTGAGAGGGCGGATCGTTAGAATGGTATAGACACCTGACATCTGGAGGATTGGTTTGAAAACTCCCGAGAAATAAAAAAAAAAAAGACTTATTTTCTGACGTCTCAGTTCCGAATTGCTTTCATTTGTTGTTGAACGCTTTTTTTTTTCCTCCCCTTTTTAGCGCGTTGCTAATTTTTCTTTTGTTTCGTGCTTTTCGCCATTCTTGAGGATAGAGTTTCATTCCTGCGCACCGTCTCTTGGGGTGAAAAGTCAGTCTATATTTTTAGCTCCTCTCCTGACATGACCAGGTGTCAGGTTTCTCAAGGGAGCTCACGCGAAGTAAGCCATTTTTCTGATATGCCTTATTTGTTTTCTGGTTGGAAAGGCCATTTGAGTCGGAAGAGGGTAATCGCTGACGAAAGAACTTCTAAAAATGCGAATACAGGAGAAACATTACGTGTAGGTCTCGAGATTTACGATAAGACGTGAATACCAATTTTCTGGGGCAACGGGAGCGTGTTGGTAAAAGTAGTAAAACTCGAAACAATAAAAAAAAAAAAAAGAAACGGAGTGGCCTGGTTTTTCGCTTTATTTTGTAATACTTGCTCCCCTAGACATATTGAGTCACGTTGAAAGGTACGATTTTTAATTAGGTTTTTTTACGAGTACAAATGAACATGTTCTCGGGATTGCAGAAGTCGGCGAACTATAGTTGAATATATGAATAAAAACAGCGTCGCAGATGAATCGTTAGCAAATCTGCCCATGACCCCCCCTCTCCCTTCCTCCTAAGCGACGCACGAATATCAATAACATATATTTATAGATTCTAATGCCTGCAAGTCACACTTACTGGTCCGTAAAATTTAAATAAAACTCGACACAGTCGTACTCGGAAGACTGTGATGATTCCACACGGGAAATCTTACATTCCGCGAGTGTCTAATAGTTTGGTTGTACCAAAGTGTACCTTAACAAATTAGAAAAAAAAAAACCCAATCACTGACACTTTTTGCTTTTCTCACCAAGTAAGCTAATCTAAACTAAGATTCAAAATGTATATCTGCACCGACAAAGCAGGTGTATTTTGCTGTATCAACGAAATCGACATAGCCGAAACTTCGATGTACGAGAAGTCACGAGTTCTAATAACATTTTGCGAATGGTGCACTCTAGTTAATCACGTGAAGTCCCGTGTCACGTGACGTCAGGTGACGCCTCGGGGTCATGATGTCACGTCACGCGGCGCAGTTCATTTGTCTAGAGCAACTAAATTAGCCACGCTTGGAGTATCGGCACTCCATTTCCTCATTTCCTACTGGGCGCCGCCATTTTGGTTCTTGGCGCAGGGCGCAAGCAATGAATGGTCGTTACTATCCTGACCATTAGACACGATGTCAAAAAAGCTGAGCGCGCTATACACGGCTTGCACGCGACGTCATTCAAAGAGCGCTTCGATGACCACCAGAGAAGAGGGGAAGAAGGAGACCCCCTTTCCAGGATCCTTTTTTTTTGTGCCTCCCGGATTTGCACAGACTTCGCTACTCTCTTCCCAGAAGAGTATAGATGGTTAACCTGTCACTCACAATTCTCACAAAAGCAGCTTCCCTCTCCTCCTCTTAAATGGTGGTCAAAAGTATGCGATATGACGTCAGTGCAAGCCATGTATTGTCTTGCTCTGTCAATTACTGTTTTAACATATCTGCAGGACGGAAAAACGGCAATTTCAGATAACTGGCCACAATGATTTAAAGCACTAGGTGGCGCAAGGTACCGCCCGTTACAAAGGGTATAGCCATTACCATCCATCCTTCCATCCTATGACTGAAGCGGTCTGGTGCGGGATTCGTTTAATGACACTGTATGTTTGAGGATACAAGAAAGGTGCGCGTCTCTCTGGCAGTACGTGAGGCTGGTGAGCGACACCCGCCCGGAACACGTCCTCCAGCTGTTCACTCGCGAGTGGCAGCTCGAGCTTCCCAAGCTTCTCATCACCGTGCACGGCGGCAAAGCCAACTTCCACCTCCAGTCCAAGCTCAAGAAGGTCCTATGCCGTGGACTCGTCAAGGCCGCCAAAACCACAGGGGCTTGGATCTTCACGGGGGGCACAAATACAGGTACGGCTGGTGGCGTGAACGTTCGATTGACCGCGTTTTATAGTTTTTGTTTTCTGGATACAATGAAACCGTCTGTTCGAAGTATTCTTGCGACAGAATGAGGACTGTCGTAATATCAACGCCGGTTTACGAAGGTATGTTTTTAGCATGCTTCTCTACAAGGCATTCTCACACATGGGTTACCTCAAAAGGATGACAAAACTGCCAATAGAACCTACAAAAAACTAAAAATTAAAAAAAAAGTTTTTTTCTCTCTACGATATCGGTTTTAGGAGAAGTGTGGTACGTGAACCGCATTCAACAGTACGCACTACAAAGCAAATAAAAGAAAAAGTGATTTTCTTATTTTTCGAGACACGTAGACAGTCAATCAGAGCGAACAACGGCAGAATCAGAGAGAGTATTGAGAAAGCTCAAAAGAGAATTGGACCTGAAAAATGCGACATCTCCATGCAGAATGAGGAACGTGTATTCCCAGCTTTGTTACTCGCTGGGATCTCTTCAGTGTTCACACGGTGTCTGGCAACCTGCGTGTTGCGTGGGAAAATAAACGTGCGGGAAGTTTTGATGAATTGCAGCAACCTTAAAATGCTACTATCGAAATATAAGAAAAAGAAACAAACAGCGGCAGCTTTTTTACGGCGGGCCGTTATTCGCGAGGTTTCGCAGTCATGGCATAACGTCACGATGTCACGTGAGATCATGGTGTCACGTGACACGGCATCACACGATACGTCACACGCCACCTGACAGTGTGACGTCTTGGGACGTCATGGTTCGTGTGCAGTGTGATCGTGTGCAGTCCGTGCGCAGCGGAACGGGCGGCGCCCCAGCTCGTCTAGAAACCGGTGACGTTCCGGGACTCGTCAAGAAACCAGAACGTCTTCTTTACAGTGGAGCTGTTAAGGGCTTCTTCCCCCAGTATCGTGTCCGCTATCAAACAGATGATGACACAAAACTCTGGACAGCTACCGCCATCTATGAACGACGGCCGCAAGCAGACGGCTTTCCGGTTGTCTGGTTGCCGCCGTCGCCCATAGATGGCGCAACCTTTCCAGCCTTTCTACTCTGTCTTGCCGACTTGCGGCCGGCCATTACTTCGTTCCCACCATAGTACAGCTTCGCTGGTCTTCCTTCTTCACCAGAGTGAAAATGCTGAAAGTTTTTAAAAGAACGCAGTGACCAACACCAAATAATTCCTCCGTTTCCGCTATTCCTTATATTCCTAACGAGTGTGTTGGTACGATGTACTAGATAACAGAAAGTATAAAACACAAACTCGTCTGTGCTTCGTCCTCTCTGTGTTTTATACTTTCTGTTATCTAGTACGCTATTCCTTCTCGTAAAAAATTCGAATTTAACGGATTTTCTGGTTCGATCGCTTTCTTTTCAGGTGTGACACGCCACGTGGGTGAAGCTCTGCTAAGCGAACGAACTCCGCAGCTTCGGGGAAGAGTGGTGGCCATTGGCATTGCGCCCTGGGGCATCATCGAAAACAGGAAGGACCTCATCGGGGCCAAGGTGAGAAAACCGCGGCACACGCTTCATGAAACCGAATTTATCTAAAGCAAGATAAAAGAACTCCGCAAGATATAAATCCCAACGATCATTCTTTTTAACTATTGTAAGCGACCTTATTTTCGCCGGCTCAGTATTAAGTAGTTTTGCGAAGTGTGAGTTTCGGGAGTAATTGGTGGGCCATAAAAATTGCGATTTAGAGCGATAGGTTATGTATTCACTAGCATAAGATGATGTACTCGTCGAATACAATTTTAGGGACATCTGGGAAGTCTAGACATTCACGAAAATTGCGTAAGTTGTTTAAAGTATTAGAAAGTGAAATTTTTATTCATCATTACCTCCTTAGAAGTAAAAAAGATGATTATATAAAACCAATGAAAGTTTCGTTTTTGTATTTTTAATGTAGTTGTTTAGCACGATCTGTACAATATTTAAAGGTACAAGTGCGATTTTTTCACAACTGGAATTTAGTTTGGTAAACAAAATTACAATGAAGACATAAATCATACCCTCACTTTCCTTCTCCGCCCTCTCCACCCCCCCCTTTCCCAACCCCCAAAGAATGAATAAACAATAAAAAAAAAGCGCGATATTTTTGTAGTGTTGGTTTGGGGTTGATGACAAAAAGTTCAGTCGCATCGCCATGAATACGTAACTCATGATTAATATGGCAGCTCATCTTAATCCAGCCGTGAAGTACGTGCTTTTTGGACGGGAGCCCCAGGGGCTTCACTATTTCACTAATTGCCTTCTGGCACGCAATTAACTTTATGAATGCGTTCTGCTCTCTTTAGCCTTTCATTCTCTTCTGCGATGTGGATTCGTTTTTGGTATAATAGTTAAGTTGCTACAGCGACGCTCTGATTACGAGGAGCAAAGGTTAATGCAACGCGGCTATTTTTGTTCTATTGTTGCTTGATATTTAGGGGAGGGGAGTTGGGGGGGGGGGGGGAGGGGGTAGCTTGACCTGCTATGAGATTAAAAAAAATAAGAGTGGAGGTCCTTTGTTTCTTTCTCAAATTTGACTGCTAAATTGCTGAAAGAATAACTTGGATGAGGTATTAAATTGTTTAAATAGAAATCTATGTGTGAACTTGCTTACGGTAATAATAATAATAATATTTATCTCTTGGATGCCCTAAAATGATGGCTCCAAGTGACTAGACAAATATTGGGAAAACTTACGGTAACGACACAGTCAGTTGTGATTGCGAAGTGTAATAAATTTATTACATTAGTCTAAAATATGTACATCAAAATAAATATTTATGTTTTCGTGTAGAATACAACATCCTTTAACGTTCCAACCTTAACTCTCGCGTTGCTAATACCGTATAAATGAATGTGACTGCTGCACGAAAGAGACACCCGGGTGGCAATGTTTTGTAGTCCGTTACTGCAAGCACATGAAAGCGCTTGCAAGAGATAGCGACGTAGGACTTTTACGATTCAGATACATTCCGAATAGACCCCTTGCGTATAAGGGCGCCCCTAGTGCCGCGCACAGGAACTACGGCAGGCCGCCATGTTTAGGTCATCGGAGAAGACGACACACGCCGTAGTGTTGGTGTCCGGCACTTCTCGCGCGCCGACGTTCACACGCTGAGCCTGTCAGCGGTGTAAACGATGGTTGAAACGTACTGCGTGCCACTGTGACACCAGCGTGGCTACCGCGATGAAAACAGGAAAAAGGTAAGCCGTAGAAGCTTATGAACAAACCCAGAAACGCACGCCATTTTTCACCTGCTTTTCAAGCGCCTAAGGTCTGTGCGAGCTTCTGGCTTGGCCAGCTAGATTGCTGCACCGCTGCCTCCGTGTGGTTAGTGGCGCCGTGCGCTTAAGACGCCGATAATTGTCTTCAATAACGAAGCACGAGCGAGTAGTGCTCCTCGACATAGTTATTTCAATAAACGCTAGCGGCTGAGTTGGTGCTAGTGTCTACGGTACTTCCGGTTGCAAATGGAAGCAGAGAGTGACCAGTCTACTTTTCCAGCCTTCCTGTGTATTCCTATGGGAAAACGTACGTAATATTTGTACGTGATATTTTTCTCTTCGCGAGAGAATGATAGGAATCGGCGTAGTTTCTTACTCGTAACGGGTACAATGTAGCTTTACTCACATTATAAAATTGTAATTTATTTTGTTAATTTTTTTTTATTGTTGAGCGATTTTGAAGTTAGCGAAAATTAAGGCCCAAGCCTATGTTCTACAGCGTGTATGTAAATACAAGCTACCCCAATTCAAGCAAAAACAAAACAAAAAAAAAAAGAATTAAAAAGTGCGTAGAGTTTATTCAAGCTGTAATAGCATTCAAGCTGTAATAGAACACGTACCAATCCAGTACGTTTTCTTCGTTCTATAACGCCATGCCTCGTTGTTGTCTTTTGTTTTGATTGTTTGATTTGTGATATATCAGCATCCCATTGGAGTCTTGTAAAGCTGATGCACTCTGTATGCTTCATAGAATATACTTTATGCGTAAATATGGGCCGTATAATAGGAGTCTGCAACGTCAACACGTATTATCAACACGTGTCAACACGATTCTAACTCTCTTGTAATTAATACCGCGAAAACAAAGGCTGTATTGTTTCAATGTCCAGGATCGCGTGTCAGATTGACAAATGATCTACTTTTCGGATCATGCCAAATTGACTGTGTTGAAAATGTCAAGACTCTTGGTGTTATTTTTTCAGAACACATGTGCTGGAATAACCAGATAACACATATCCATAAAAAACTTTGTAAGGTTGTTGGCATATTGAATAGGTACAGACATACGCTCCCAGTTCATATTAAAAAGTTAATTTATGACTCCCTCTTTCAATCTGTAATTTGCTACGCTCATGTAGTATGGGGTACGACCACTATGCGAAATGTCAATAAGCTGTGACTGTTGCAGAAAAAGGCGCTTAGAGCTATCGAAAATGTTCCTCGTGATTATCATACCCTTCCCCTGTTTTTGAAACATCAGGTCGTCGACATTTCCTACTTGTATCCCTGGAGACTAATTTACATGTATCAACGATCAGTAAAACAAAACATCGAAGTTATTTTAAATCTTGGAAACCTGGTGAGAAACGAAGTACCATATTCATTACGTGACCCTCCTCATTGGCGTGTTCCCCCTTCCAGGACCAATTTTGGATTGCAGAGATTTAACTACAGATTGGCGGTTATGTTAAATAAGCTGGCATCCCGAGATATTGACATACGCTCCATAAACTATCAGACAATTCAAAGAATATTATAATATCGAACTGTTTTTCTTGTGTTTCTTCTTCTGTGGTTATTGTATAAGAGTTGTATATTTAGAATTTCTGTAACCTAGCTGTGCCCCCATCACTGCTGCTTGGTTTTGGGGGGCGCTGGACTTTGTCAAGCTGCGAGTACGCAGCTTTTTTCCAGCCCCCTAGTCCCAAATGTAATTGTTTGTGACTTAATAAACTGATTGATTGATTGATTGATTATACATGTGTATTGGGATATTTTAGCGCAGTGTTCGACACCTTGAATTCTAAAAAAAAAACGTTTTAACTGAAACCTATTTTGTACATTATATTGTAAAACGTTCCAAAAAAAATTTTTTTTTCACAAACCTAAGCCATATTTGTTCTTATAATCGAGTGCGAAGAGAAAACGCATTCAGATTTCTTCATACGAATGCATTACCGGAAGTAAAATTTATACTAGTTGCTGTCTGCTTCAAAATGCAACAGCACACTAGCGCCACCTGAACCTCTAGCGTTTATTGTAATAACTCTATGCTCCTAGATCGCCGTACCCGGCTCTACTCTGTTTCACTTTTTGCTGTATCACGGTGAAGGCTACAAGCGCGAGCTGATAGCCTTGGCAGCTACTCTGGCCGAGTGAGAGCTCGTGCTGTTGAGATGCGCCCTAGAGCAATAAGCTCGTGCTTGTAGCTGAGGTACGTCATAGGTTGAAACGGAGTATTCGCCGCTATCAGTTTGGGTATCGCCGCCTGGTGGAAATGTTTCACAACCCAGAGTGAGAATACTTCAACTTGCTGTGCTGGTGCAACCACGTGCAATTCCAAGCTTCTACGCACTATGAAAATGTAAACATTACCGCGTAAGCATCACATGCACAGCCCATAGTGAGGAAAACGGGAGCGCCCCCAGCGAGCTTCTCACCGCGAGTGCAAAAAGCTTCGCACTAAGAAATAAGTTCGTGTGAGCAGCGTATGTAGCGCTCGCGAACGAGAGCCTTCCCGGAAGGCGTAGCGTATGATGAGGAGTCACTGCCGACGCTAGGACGCACGTTCTGGAAGCCTCATCTTGGGTTGAAAACGCTGAAGCGGAGGAAAAGCGTGCACGCTTACCGACCCGTTTTTGTCGTGGCTCGACTCGCAAATCCGTGCGGACGAGATGGTCCAACTGCTCCTGCCAACCAGAGATGGCAAAATTACTTTCAAAAAGTAATTAAATCACATTACTAATTACTTTCCTAAAATCTCCAAGAATGTAATTAATTTATTATACAAATTACTGCAGACTATAAGTAATGACGTTACCTTACCATTACTTTTCGAAAGTATTGATATAACTTTGACAATACTTTTCAATACCTCGAGGCAGTCATTCGTCTTCATTGTATTTACTGTATATGTACAAAAACTCAGATCCTCCTGTTACAGCTTCGCTGTAACAGGAGGATCTGAGTCAGGAGGACCTCTACCAGTCGAGTAAATATTAATGTCGCTGGCGTTGCAATAAAAAAAAAAATTCCCGCCGAACAATTGAAGGCAAAACAGCATAACTCCTTTGCAATCAGTCATACAGCATACAGCTCAGTATCCGTTTTATGAAAGAAAACCACAAAACAAGCATCGAAACCACATGATGGATGATAAGGCGCGTGTGAGCAGTAGGAACATCCTCCCGCGCGTTCCGCTAAAGATTAGGTTGGAATCTGCTTTGAAAGGGGTTGACGTCATTCGAAGCCCTCGTGTGAAGTACAACCCGCATAATGGGTGATAA